TTTTGTGCTGATGGAGCGTGGTGCACAGGAATTTTGGGCAATTTTTGGGGAATTTTTCAGATTTCAAGGATTTCAGTTTTGTGCTGATGGAGCGTGGTGCACAGGAATTTTGGGCAATTTTTTGGGAATTTTTCAGATTTCAAGGATTTCAGTTTTGTGATGATGGAGGGTGGTGCACAGGAATTTTGGGCAGGCAGGTGAATATTTCCCAGCACAGCACATCCCATGGCCATGGAGTTGAGGGCAGTTGAGGATTTTTACTGGTTCTGATGGGGATTTTTGATTTTTTTGGGCCATTTTTGGTGATTTCTGTGCTGTCTCAGGGCACTGCAGGGTCTCCAGAAGGAGAATGATTGACACGTATAATATTAATTTTAATATTTATCAAAAACTAATCACAAAATACGCGTTTTTCACAATACCATTTATTTGTGCTCAGTTCTAAAAACGTTTCAGGTGGTAATGGCTGATGAGTAAGTTCTGCCCTTCCACTTCTCTCTGCTTTAGTGAATATTTTTTCCCCACAAATTCCAGCACTGTGTTTTTGAGATTATTTAAATACAGGGATGTGTAATGGAGAGCTTCTCACAGGGAAAAGAGCTGTAAAATAGCACTTGAAATATTCTTCTCTTTTAATTAATACACCCTGAGTGCAGTCCTTGTGGAAAATGCATCTGTGGGAAGAACAATCCTGAGATATTCACGATGAATATTTTCCACTCTGATTTCTTTATTTTAAGTGAGTCTTCTTGAGCACAAACTGATTCCATAATACGATTTATTTCATTGTCCTTGCCTCAGAACATCTGTCAAGCAATGCTTGAAGAAAAGGAACCCAGCTGAAAGGCACACAGGAAAATGAACCTGCTCTGAAAAGAAAGTAGAATTAAAAATGCTCATAAATAAAATCAGGACTTGGATTTCCTTTTGGTGTTCAACTCCTGCTTGTGTTTCTCATCATAGAGCCTGGGGGTGGCACAGAAAACCCTTGGGTGGTGGAGCTTTGGGGTTTTGGGGTTTAAAAGTTTTGGAGTTTTAGAGTTTTGAAATTTTAGGGGGTTTAGGGTTTTGGAGCTTTGGGGGTTAGATGTTTTTGGAGTTTTAGAGTTTTAAAGTTTTAGAGGTTTTAGGTTTTTGGAGCTTTGGAGGTTGGGTGTTTTTGGAGTTTTAGAGTTTTAAAGTTTTAGGATTTTGGAGCTTTGGAGGTTGGGTGTTTTTGGAGTTTCAGAGTTTTGGGAGTTTGGGGATTTTGGAGTTGTGGAGTTTTAAGAGTTTTGAAGTTTTGGAGCTTTGGGAGTTGGGTGGTGTTGGAATTTTAGGAGTTTTGGGATTTGGAGGTTTTGGAGTTTGAGGGGTTTTGGGTTTTTGGAGTTTTAAGGGTTTTAAAGTTTTGGAGTTTTGGGGGTTTGGAGCTTTAGGGGTTTTGGAGTTTTGGGGTTTTGGTGTTTTGGGTTTTTGGAGTTCTAAGCGTTTTGAAGTTTTGGAGTTTTGAGGGTTTTGGAGTTTTGGGGGTTTGGGGTTTTGGAATTCTGGGGGCGTTGTCACCATTGTGTCCTTTGGTCTGGGGCCAACCATTGGGGATCTCTCACAGCTCCACATCCCAGTGAAAATGACTTTGCATGGCTGTCCTCATAATTGAATATTGACTTGTTGGGATGGTTTTTTGATCTCTGGTGCCACAGAGGAATTTGTCCCCAGCTGCAGCTGTAAATTCTGTAAATACACCCAGCCCCGTTCCTGCTGTGCAGGTTGGACAGAGGCTGGGGGACATTTATTGGTGTTTTATTTTCCTGCTGAAGTCTGGCTGCTCATCACTCTCTGACTCCCAACTTTCCAGTCTGGACTGAAATAAGAACACATTTTCTGCCTCCTACTCAGTATCCATCAAGGCTTTTTTTTTCCTCAGTAGCAATTATTTAATACTTAATTAATGTGGAGAAAAGGTGTTGAATGCACTTTGGACCTCTCAGAAGCTGGGGGTGAGGAAACAGAGCCATTCCTCCCCAAAACCTGGCAGCAGCTTTCCAACCTGGAGATTTCCTGCTCAGCAAATCCTCTTGCATGGGATTTGAGCAGAATGGGAAGCAGGAGCAGGAATAAATTACAAACAGAGATGAGGAAAATACCCAAACTAGATTTGGTATTCAGGAGGGCTCTCCAGAATGATTTCCTCATGCCCGAATTAAAAATCTCTCCATGTGCTCCCTAACACATCCAAGGGGAGTGGTACAGCTGATTCTTCCATTGGGAATTGCTTAAATCTGCAGGTTGGTCTTTGGGACTTCTCAGGATTTTTAAATCCTTGGGGCATCAGTTCTAAATACTGATTTTAGTTGTAAAAATAAATGAATAAAATTTGCTTCTTGTGAAGATGAGGGTTTTTGACCCACTCACCCAGAGTGGGATTTGCTCTGCTCTGCAATTTTTCTCTCACCTCACCTTTTGTTGCTTTATTATTTAATTTCTGCTCTGAAGTGTGATCATGGCACTGCGAGAGAGGGGAGGGATTTGTTCTCTTGGGTTCAGGGCAGTGCAAAGTGTCCTGTGTTCATTTTGTACCTCTTGGAGCTGTCACAACATTACAGCACTTTAAAAATAGTAATTTTAGTTAAAAATGTTGTAAAGGTTTGGCTCAGTTCTTATCAGTTGAGTGTGCTGGCAAATCCCTTTTTAAAGCCTATTTGTTCCAAAAAAATGGGAATTGATATTTTGTGGTCATTGATGCCTTTCATTCTCTCATCCTAAGAGCTAAATGAGTGACCACTGTCAATTCAAAACTGCCTCAAGTAAAAAAATAATAATAATTTATATTTCAGCTTTGCTAAAGGGGTATAGAGATATCCAAATAATCATTTTTACTTTCTTTGTAGCCTTCTCATGGTAAATTTTGCCCTTTCTTTTCATCCCAAGTGATGGACTTTACACCACCCCAGTTTATATTTTTCCTTTACAAATTGTGAATTCCTGCTGACCTGGAACAGTCTCATCATACCATGTATTTTTTAAATTCAGTAACAATGTCTTAAATAATTATCCAAAGTCCAAAACCCCGTGAATGAATTAAAACAGGAAGTGGATCATGGACTCAGTGTTTCACCAACATCATTCCTGTGATCCTTCTTCCTGCTGGTTGATTCCGGCCTGGTCCATGACTAACTCTGTTAAGGCATGGCTGGTTTGGGGTTTATGCTGAAAAATCTGTGATTTTATGTGAAAATCTGTGATTATATGTGAAAATCTGTGATTATATGTGAATGAATGCTGTTAAAACCCCCTCTCCAAGAACTTTAAGGGAAGTACAGGTGCACAGTGCCATAATCTCCAATGGGGCATGGCACAGAGCGCCTCATGGCAGATCCATTCCTGTTTTTCCAGTGCTCCAGTTTGATCCCCCAGCCCCTTTTCCCATGGCTGGTTGGGGTGATTGTGGTGCTGTGAGCCCCGGGGTGTCCCCAGCACAGCACCCCGCTGACATTGCTGCTCTTCCCGTTGCAGGGGCTTTGGGCCCGTCGTCATCGATCGCCATCGCCGGGGCCAGCCAAGCTGCCATCACCAAGACCACGTCAGTGCTCCAGGACGGTGTCATTGTCACCACGGCAGCTGGGACCCCTCTGCAGCAGGGCCAGCTGCCCATGGGGGGCGAGTTCCCCTTCGCCGGCCACGAACACTCGCTCCACTTCCCGCAGAACAGCTCCTCAAACAACAACCTGCCGCATCCTCTGAACCAGAACCTCCTCAACTCCCTGCCTCTCTCTCTGCCGGTGAATCAGCAACATCTCCTGAACCAGAACCTCCTGAACATCCTCCAGCCTTCAGCAGGAGAAGGCAAGTCTGAGGTGAACCTCAACCCGTTGGGTTTCCTGAACCCGAACGTCAATGCTGCTTTAGCGTTCCTCTCCGGCGACGTGGACGGGCAGGTCCTGCAGCCCGTGCACTTCCAGCTGCTGGCGGCGCTGCTCCAGAACCAGGCGCAGGCGNCCAGGGCATTATTCCTTGTTAAATTCCTTGTTTATCCCAGTGTAAAGTGCACTTGGTTCATGGTGAAAGCCACATACTCAAAAATAAAACAGAAAGGAAAAAAACCCAAACCAATGGTAAACTAAGTTATGTCTCCCTTTTTCTGGACAAAACCATTCTGGCTTGCTTCCTTGCTTCTGCTGACTTCCACACACTCTCCATGAATAAAATCCATTCACTTCTGGACATTCCCACACCTCTTTTTGTCACTTCTCCAAAGAAATTGGAGGTTTTTTGCAGCCTGGCAGTGCATGTCCAGGTGATCCACGAGCTCTTTCCTGCTGGAATTAAAGAGGTGGTGTCAGAGATTGGAGCAGATCCTGGGAGCACCAAAATGCACAAAATCCCCCTTTTCAGGGCCAGCAGGAGGGAAGGCCAAGCCTGTGTTTGCTTTTATTGAGGTAATTTTACTAAGGTGGTAATTAAATGCTTGAATAAACTGTTGGAGGTGTGTAGGGAGAAATTTCCTGGTTTGCTCATCAGGGAAGATTTGGAGAGGAAATGGGTTTGCTGCTGTTGCCATCCCTGGGGGGTTTAAAACATGGTTAAAACAATTAAAAAATAACAGCAACTCATGTCGTACCAACAAGATTTCTTTGTTACAAAACATTTTTAAAACTTTCTAACCAATAGCATATTACTAAAACTTACAGATAGTTATTCTATCCTATATCATATATCATATATCATGCATTATACATTATACATTATATATTACATATTACATATTATATATTTTATATGTTATATATTATATATTATATATTATATATTATATATTATATATTATATATGTTATGTTATTTTATATTAATATTATATAATTATTATTATATATTATTCTATCCAGTCACTAAGAACACACATAACATATTTCAAGCAATACTGACTTACATACTTTCTATTAACCATACACAATACTCCATTATTAAACTTAGAGCCTTCTATTATCCTCCTAAACATATTTTTTACAGTTTTAAAATCTATCTTAACCAAACCTAAAACTATTATTTCATGTCCTTACTTACTGTACTATTGTAACTTTTCAATTTGAAACTTTACAACTACAGCTAACTAGAAATCCTTTATTCTTTCTATTTCCAAGACCAGCTTTCACAACTTTCTAAAAATCTTTTTACCTTTACTATTTTCTCCCAAATATCTATTATAAAACCTGGAGAATGTGTTCTTTTTTAAGGAGGTTGTGTTATTTTTGTGTTATTTATATATTTATAAATGTATGAAACTCTGCAGTTTTTAAATCCCGTGTTCACTGAGCCTCTTGCTGGGACCTGCCAGCAGCTCAGGGCTGAGCTTTAATCCAGAGAGGAGAATTCTCTTGGATCTCCAGGAGAATGGGAATGTTCTTTCTTCATGTGAAATGTTGAGTGGTTTGTGGTATAATTATAATTTTTTATTTAGTTTTTATTATATTTTTATTATTATGTATAATATAATATAATATAATATAATATAATATAATATAATATAATATAATATAATATAATATAATATTTTTTTTATTATTATAATTTTTTATAATTTCTGCTCTGCCAGTTTTGGGGCTGGAGCTGCTGAAAGCCCGTGTACACTGAATTTCCAGGAGCATTTCAGCAGAGGAGGATGTCTAAAGGAACCTCTCGTGCTCATATTTCAGTTTGTGGCTTGGTTTTTTCCCTTTGTTTTGAGGTATTTTAATTGCTAAATCTCTTTTCTGTGTCTGTGCCAGCAATTCAGAGCAGCTCCTCCTCAGAAATAGCTCCTGAGAGAAAAAACCCTGTGAATCCCACAATTAGCTAATTATTGCCCGAGCTTTTAATTATATTTAACCACATGGACCAAGTTCTGGTGTTCCAGCTCTTGTTTTCTCCTTCCTCAGATAATATCTTTAATTCCCAGGTAATTTTCGGGGGGTGTGTGGTGGATTTTGCTCTTTTTGTAGGATGGAGCTGCATCACTGGCTGATGGATTTGATTGTAGGGTTTTATTTATTTACCTTTTTCTTGTGGTTCTCAGGGTAGGAAATGTGTGTTTGAGGGTTGAGCATTCAACATCCAAATCCTGCTAAGAAAGCAACCATAAATATCCATAAATATCCATATCCATAAATATCCATGTCCATAAATAATGGGGTGGATGGAAATGAGTGAAAAGATTTGGGAATAAAAGCTCTGGGCTGCTGAGAAGGGAAATTAAGGGAACCTCAATAACCACAGCAATTAAAGATATCTGGTGTCAAATATTAACATTTTAATATAGGAGAAAGTCTGGAAGTTCAGAAGGAACAAAAAATTGGTAGATTTGGCAAAAAAAAAAAAAAAAAAAAAGGCTCTAATTCCTTCCCTGAAATGGGAATTTTTCCTGGTGAAATGCACAAAATAAAAATAATAAAATATAATTAAACAGGGAGGAGCACAACAGCAATCAGTGAGGGTGAGGAGAGGAATTTGTTTTAATACAGCCAAGAAAATTGGGAATGGATCATGGTGCTGGAAAATAAAACCCCAAAAGAAGGGTTGGGAGGCTCTGATTCAATCACCTCAGTGCAAACTGTTGGAAACACAAATCAAACCAAACAAATCTGGATTTGCTCCCCAAAATTACTTTGTATAACCTAGAATTGCCAAATCAGGAGAACTTTTGGACACCAGGGTCAGAAAAATATCTGACAACTTTTTGGGACTTGTTGTGTCTGAGAAAAAAATTCTTATTAAACTGGAATCACCCTGAGACAGGAGGGCAAGAACCTTCTCCTCTAATTATAAAGAAAATTAAAATATTCTGGTTTTTGAGGTTTATAGAATATCTAGGGGCTCTTTGCTCTGCTTGGGAAAGATTGTAAGGAATCACTTACTTAAATTCATTACTTAAAATTAACTTAAATTAAACTTAAATTTACTTCAATTTCCAGGTTCTTTTTCCCACTCTTACTTCTAAATAATAACTTATTTACCCTTGTTATTATTTTGGGGAGAGAAAAGTGATTTTTTTTTTCTTTTCAGGTAAGAACTGTGAAGAATAAAGAAAATGTTCAGTGCTTGTTTGGGGTTTTCTGGTGATTTTAGTTCTTAAAATTTGAATTTGCCAACAATTTACAGTCTTTCAGTTACCTGGTTGGTGTTTTAACTGCCATGCAATTTTCTAGGATTTTATATTGACAAAATTCAGGGAGTTTGTAAAAAATAATAACAAATTAATGTAGAAAGAGGAGTGTTATTAAAGATATTATTACAGAGAAAACCTGAATTAATCCTGTGGGCTTTCCCACACATATTTCGCTGGAAGTGGAACCAGTGGGCAGCTCCAGTATTTGCTGGAGGGATGAGTGGGGATTATTGGAGGAAATAATGTTTTTTATTGAATTTTTATTTCCCCAAATTCACCGTGGAGTGTTTTCCTTCATTTGCAATGCATCTGCCACAGCTGTGAGTGGGAAAATCCTGAATCCACAACACTTCCCTGCAAGTCATTTCCAGCCCAGCAGTGCTGGGAAATGCAGAAATCACAGGAGGTGGGCAGGGAGAAGAGCCAAGACTGAAATTGGGACAGATATGAAATTCTAAAAATTAAATTTTAAAAAA